CGGTGGAGTTTGAAACAGAAGGATAAAAGCCCTCCTGGGTACCAAAACAAGCATAAAACCCCCGCTGGGGAACCATGTTCGAAAATAAAATGAAATAAAGGATTAGGGAAAGAGAGAAGAGTCGAGATCAGCCTTCAACGCTAACCCCTTCAGTACTTCTACCATCTTCAACATTCGAGCTGAACTGATTAAGACCTAGAGGCGCACCGTAGCTGGATCCACCTCCATCGCAACCGAGTCTTTAGAGATCACTGGGAGATTCAATTTTCCGATCGAGAATTCTGAGATCTGGGTAGCCTTGAAAGTTTCTCCCAGGTTTACCTCGCTAGCCTTCACCAATTCCAACTCCTCTTCGATTGTGCAGGTCCCGAAAATGATCGCCTTAGCATTTTCTTGTTAGACCCAGCCTCCTAGAGACCGCACTCAGCCATGTTTTCGGCCTTCTTCCTATACGACTTAACCTTTAAGCCTTCGAGCACCTCCATGAACCTCTGGGGAATCACCGTTTGGGCTTGGCGGCTGGCTTGACGAATGGCATCCTTGCGCTCACAGGTAAGACGGAGGTTCTCCCTCTCTAGATCAGCTGCCCACTCAAAAGCCCACACTGCCTTGGCCTGGGCCTCGGAGAGCTGTTCGGTGGCGATCCTGAACTTCTCGCCTTTTTCAGCCACCTCATTCTCGAGGTGAGCAAGATGAGCTTCTTGGCTCTTAAACTGCTTGAGCATGTTGGCCTGGCGAGTGACCTACGTGTCGGCAGCATCGAGGTTGGACTTGAGCTTGTTGACTACCCTCCTCATCTCTTCGATCTCTCCCGGGTGAACATCACGTAGCCTCCTCTCTAGGCGAGCATAGAGCCAATTTCCAGCCTTTACAGCCTGCAAACAGCGGCAATCGAAAGGTTAAGTGCATAACACTTAACCAGCAAATATATAAAAAAAGGGGACACCTTTTACCTTCCCATTGGCCACCGTCATCTCCACAAAGAACTCCCACTTGATCATATTCATAAGAGGGGGGGGTTGGAAACTGGCGGGCTTGAAGTGACGCCACATAGCTGCCAAACCCTCAGGATCATCTGTGATCGGATGGTCCTTGATGTGCTCCAACTTCGAGTGAAAAGGCCGGGTATCCATCCAGCCACCGCTCCCGTTGGATACTGCCAGATGCGCCTCTGCGGCCCGACCTCCCTCATCACACCTCAACCGTTTCAAAACAAGCAGAGACGACTGCTCGAGCTCCTGGCCCGCAGAGTTCTGGGTCCTACTCGAGCTGACAGTTATCACCCCAGACTCTTGGATATGAGGGTTAACCCAAGGAACCATCATTTGATTGACCTCCTCGTGATGGAGTGTGGGAGCGGCAGTCGACGCCAATGCAGCCTCTAGAGCTGCCTTAACACTTCCTAAGTGAACTCTGGGTTCGTTGGGGTCAACAGGGGCTTTCCCGGCTCTTTTTTGAAAGGTCGGTTTGCAAGACAGGGCTGAAGTCATGCTTGCTGCTGAACTGGAAGCCTGCGCCAGGAGAGGAGGTATTACCCCAGCAACTACAAAAAAAATCAACACATTAACACTGAAATTCGCTAAGCAAAATCTTGTAGCCCTAGCATGACGAAAGCTTACCAAATAGAATGAACGGATCCGGAACAGGCGAAGTAAGGACTCGTCGAACTCGTTCTCGTGTGAACTTACTCCACATGACGTCACCTCGTTAGAATAATCCCATTCGGTGGTCTACATCCCCATCTCGCGGTGCTTTAGATAGCTTGCCTGACAAACAAAAACAAATGAAGGTCATAAATCAGACCAAGCAAGGAATCCGAGTTCTAGCTAGCAAACATATAAGCCTAGTTAAACAACCGCTGCTCGCAAATTTGACCGGCAGCCGAGTGAAATGGAAGCTTCCGACGGATGCTTCATTAACTCTGAACTTAATCCTCATCCTCTCCCATCCGGAATCCTTCTCAGGACTGTCCACGATAAACCGCCGGTTTGATCTCGGAGATGCATAAAAGGTTCTGGGATGACGGGCATTGTACTTAACAGAGAAAAACTCATTTAGCTCCTAAGGGCAAAAGATGACAGCATCTTCCCGAGCCCACACGGCACACCCCACGATGGCCCAAACCAGATTTGGGCACTTCTGCGGGAAAGCCATCCGCAAGTCGGCAAGCACATCAAGGACGAAGCACATGGTCGGAAAGAACAACCTACAATCCCAGAAGTACGTCATGTATGCATAACAAAAAAATCGGCTCGACGTTTGCCGGAGTCTCCATTGGCGCCAGAATCGCCAACACTAAACCATTGGTCGTCCAAGACCTTCGATTCGTTTATCTTCAAGGATCCAGAGCCCCAGAGTCCTTCATGACCCCTTCGGTCTTCATGGCTTTTGACATCGGAAGAAGGACATTAAGGAAGGGAGGAGATAAAGATTCCATACCCAGAAAACAAGAAAAACACGCGAGAAATCTAAGGCGATTCGCAGAAATCCTTGCTTAAAATACACAAAGCAAGCAGTCGGGCAAAATCCAAAAGATTTTCGATCACAAAAATCTCTCTTTCTCGACCAAAAAAATGTGACGAACAAAAAGTTACAGAAAATAAAAGAGAAGAAGAGAGAAAACTACTTTTAATCGTCGAACATATGCAGTTAAAAAGCAGTGGAGAAGGTGGAATTTATAACGCAGTAATAATTGCTCACTTTCGAAGATTGTGAAAAATCCAACTATGCCATTAATCTTCACTGTTCGATTCCGGGATCTCAACCGTTGAATATTCAACTCAGCAGATTTGACGTGATGCATAACTCCAATTAACCAAGGCCATCAGATCACTTATTTTTTGGATCTAAACCATCCACGTCGAAAAAGCATCCATGCAAATCTTCTCGGGAATTGCACTTGTCCCCGGGAAGCTCGATCGCTGAAATTGAAGTAAATAAGTATATTCACTTTGAATCTGAACTGTCCATCTTTAAAGGATAACAACCGCAAGATCTCGTTGTGCGAGCTGCGATCCTTATGGTTGATCCTCGGCCGTACGATCAGTTGGACTTTTCATCTTTCCAAGTCTGAGCCGTTGATCTTGAATGATCACCTGACACCATGACGTCAGCACACTAGATGTGAAATCTTTCAAAAATAACAACTCGTTATTGTTAACGGGCTAGGGGCAATTGTTAGAACTAGATTTTACACAATGAATCCAGCCCACTCAAGCCCAACAAGCAAGTTCAAACTAAGCATAAATTAACTGGACCTCGTTAATACGAACCATGCTCAATCCTTTGCAACGATCTAAGCCTGAACATTAGTGTTCCGTTTGACGAGGTCGAGCTGGAGCTCGATAAAATCCTGAGAAACAAGGAAGGATCTAGACTAAGTCAAAGCATATTCCCACCAGTTCAAGCGAGCTCGAGATTTCTGGAAAAAGTTGCTGCACGTAGCCGAGATATGCGTTGGAGATTGAAGCTTGACGTGGCAAACTATATAAAAGAGGCAAATAGCTTAGTTTAGAGAACTATTTTTTTATACTTTCGGATACTCAAAAACACTGTAATCGCTCTTGGAGTTCTTTCCATTTTCTTTTAGGAAAATTCTATAACTGTTTCATTCATCCGATTAATATCAAATCCTTATTTCAATTGATACTTGCTTATACTGTCAATCTGTTCAAGAGAATCTAACCCTTAATTTTCTTATAATTATTTTTTTATAAAAATACATAAATTTTTAGTGTAGATTTCTACATCCATAAAAATACTATTAAATTTTTATATTTTTAAAATTGCTAATTCAGTAACCATAAATATTTTATATGATTATGACGGTTTAATTCGATTAAATTTTAATTTTCATCATTTTAAGAAAACGTAAGAAAAAAATACCTTTGAAATTTAGATTGAGGAACATTATTTGAGAAAGAGCGTGAAGACCAAAACAGCTGGAAGTTATGAAGACGGGCATGTGGTTGCCTATCTAATTTGGTAAGAGAATGGTGGCTTCATTAATTACATTTTATACTAGTAAAAAATTTATAAATTAATAATATTGAAACTATGAAAGTTTATAAACCCTTATTAATATATAATGATTATTAATTACTAAATATATTGTTTAGTAGTAAATTAATTTTAGAATTAATAAAAAATATTAAGTTATCGAAATATTAATGTATCGAATATTGCTTTATAGAAGTTTCGCTATATATCTTTATATGCTCTCATTTGTTAACTAAACAAAAGCATTATGTTGTGAAAATGCTAGTAATATATTTTATATTCATGTGCTCTTTCTTTAATGCGTTCTAACGCTTCCCGATGCTTTAACTGCCAACTCAATACAGTAAGTTCTATAACACATGGAGGTGGAATTTAAAGCGAACCGAGAGTAAAAAGAAAATTTCATTTCTAAGCCGAGTATAATTTTATAAAGACCAAATCAAATATGGAATTAAAAACAACAACTTAAATTAAAATTAATCTATTTATTTACTATTTTCGATTGAATTTGATATGATATTTTCTGATTTTATTTACTAACCGAGTCAAATAATATTTTTGTTCTCCTTCAAACCATCACCATTTTTTTTAACCTAACAAAGAAATCAAATAAATTGAACCGAATGGAGGACAAGAACTGAAATTTTCACCCTAGCAAGTAGCAAATATACTAGTATATAATTAAATTTCAAGATTTATCATTATATAATTCATTTCCATACAAAGGTGGTTTGCTCATTAATTTTTTTTTTTTGGTAATAGTTTGCTCATTAATTTAGTTTTGATGTAATGTAACGGTTTTAAGATACTGTTATGATTTAAATGGCTGGCTTCCATAGTACTATCACAAATTTCTTATACGATTTTCTAACATAACAATCGAAAAGGAACCTCATATATCTCCGTCAGGAAACAGTTGGTTCCTTCTGAAGCATAAATCGAATTGAGGAATTTAAAAACGCAGAAGCTTTAGACGGTCCGAAAACTCACCAAAACTTAATGCAGTTTTTCAAATGTAGAGAAAAAATAAGAAAGAAAGTGGGTGGTAGTTATAAACACGCATTAATGACATCGAACAAAAAAACCTATAATATGGCATTGTTTTCGCTTACAAGATTTGATTCGCAAAGACGCTCTTAGACCAACGCATAAACAATGTCCAACGTTGCAGTAATCGCCGCTATTCTGATTGCTGTTTCGCTAACCGGCCACGTGTCAGCTCAAATCGCTCCATCTCCTTCGTCAGGAACGTCGGGTGCAGCAGACTGTATGCCGAATCTGTTGAACATGACGGACTGTCTCTCGTACGTTACGGTCGGAAGCGGTGGTGATCCGGCCAAGCCGGACAAGGCTTGTTGTCCGGAGCTGGCGGGGCTGGTTGATAGCTCGCCGCAGTGCCTCTGTTACCTCCTCGCTGGAGACATGGCGGCTCAGTATGGAATCAAGATTGATAAGGCAAAGGCTCTCAAGCTTCCGGGAGTTTGCGGCGTCGTTACTCCAGATCCCTCCCTTTGTTCACGTAAATTTTAACCTACATATATTAATTTTAAAGTTATTAAATTAATAATCTTGCATTCGAGTATAATATGACTACCAACGAACTTACCCACTGTATATTACTAAAAATATTTTTTAAAATAAGAAGCTAGTATGTATATGAGATATTGAAGGAAACTATTTTTCTGTCAAATATTTAATACACTTATCAAAAGCTTAAAAAAAAATTATTCTGTATTTTTTTATGTTTATCTTATTTACCGGAATTCCAAAGATCCATTTCGTCAATGGCTAGCATATGATTTTGAATTCATATATGTAGTTAGTTTTTATTTCTTAGCCAATTTTATAGAAAATAAAAATGTGATCTAGGTCTATCGAAATTGAGAAATGAGAATCTAATGATATGATCATATGATGACTCTCATTCATACCAACACAAAGTTCTTTAGAATGAATCAAATTATTTTTGTATATACTAAGAAGGTTAGAATGTGAATATTTGTTATTGTAAATGTTAAAATGTAAGTAAATATAAGCTGTAAGAAATTTAATCAAAATATAATAATTAATAGAGAATATGATATTTATTGGCCGAACTATCTAACCCTTACAACTCATCTACTCGCACATTTAATATACTTTTTGTCGGTTTCGTGAAAAGTATCACATGTTTTCAAACTATTTGACTTAATTGTATATTTGTCTTTTTAGACGTTAAAGTTACTGAATTATGAAATATGCTTACAATTTTATAAGGAGCATCTAATATGAGCTCAGACTGACGCAATGTATTTTATGGAAACGGATTTTGTTTGTACTTTGTACTTATTTAGCACTTGAACAAAGTTTTTAATTATTGATGGGTGACTTAAAGATGAATTTATTACGATTAGACAATTATTGTATAATGTTTGCACCTTTTAGTCTAATATTTATATTGTAATTAACAGTGTTTGGAGTTCCCGTTGGAGCACCTGAAGCTATGGGTAACGAGGAAGCCTCCCCAGCCTTGGCTCCAACTTCAGGTAAACGATCTACTTCATAATTTCCATTTGATGTATGAGTGAACATTTTGCTTTTAGATTCTATATTAGTTAGTTGTTTTTAATTTTGCCCCTGCTAAAAAGAAAACACAACCACTTAAAATCCATTTTACTTGTTTTTTTTGGAAACTTTTTATGTTTCTGGTCTGCTTTTTTTTATTTTTAATAGAAAAGATGCACTATATAATCAAATTTTACCGCGTCTATTTTCTAAAATAACATCGATTTCATGTGAGTTCTTAACAATTATCATCTCCTATAATCACTATGATATTATTCCACAAAAGACACACGTTCTTATCAGTATATTTTTCTGCCAATTTAATTAAAAATGAATATTGGTTTAATATTTCATACGGTATAGTTCATGTACTATTCAATCTTAATATATAACATTCAAGAAAGGAAAAAAAAAACACAATCAATCCATTTTGAATAATATGTATAGGTGCGGAATCACCTGGACGTTTTGCGTCGGGTCCTTCGGCTGGCAGAACGAGCGATGCACCAAGCAGTGCACCTTATTATCTTTTTCTCAATCTTATAATTTCCCCAGTCGCTTTAGCACTATATATCTATTTCTGATTTCTTTTTCTTATTAGCAACACCATTATTTGTATTGTACTTTCTTAAAAAGAGTATTGTTGCTTTTGTAGGTTTTTTTTGCTGAATTTATTACTTTGTGTATCCATGGATTATCTCTTCATTCATTTTATCGAATAAAGTTTATTGTCATAAAAATACTGAGATTTCTCCACCGGTTTGAATTTTTAAACCGTTTAAGAGTTAAAATTGTTGACAAAAAAAAAACGTAAAAATTAGACATTCAAAACAATTTCAACCATTAAGAAGGTATCAAAAAACTTTTTTGTTCAACATCTGATGTTATTATATAGTAAAAGAATAATACAAATAGTTCAATATTCAAATAGATGGATTAAAGAACAGATTGCAGTGGTGACAAAAAAAAAAAAGAACAGATTGCAGATATCTCTAATTTATACATCTTTTTAGACAAGATATATCCAATAAGATTACTTTGTCTGTTAACATGTCCTAAAGAACAGATGGGTAATTTATTTATCCAAAATCAAACATCCAATAGCAGATTACCTAATTCCATGCTTCCTCGGCTTTGATTAATAATTTGTGTTAATTGAAGACTATATCTCCTTCAGACCAAACATTCCTTCAGCCCTTAGTCCAAATAAGCTGTACAACATACAGGAAACCATAAGCTTCTGCTTATACTGGTGTATTTACCTGAGGCAATTTCACACATTTTGATTCCATATGCCTCCCTTGATTATCTCTAATTATCCATCATATAGCCATTAAATCTAAATCACGTCGGTACTTACTATCAAACATAGATTTTAACCAACTTAATTCTGAAGATACCAAAAATCTATCTGAAAATTTTTAATTTTTCAAAAAAAAATATTATTTTATAAATAAATAATAAAATTAGTTCTATCTAGAATTGCATAAAGATTTTTCATAGTATTATGACTAAAGATAATAAACACTCAAGACCATGTCACAAACTAATTAGGGTTAAGGCCGTAAGTTACTCGATCGTAAATGCTTTTTGATTCCCAATGTGTTGGGCTAAACCCAACATACCACAAGAGAAAAATTCAGCACCTAACCTAAAATGTTTAGACAACGAAAGAAAGTTAAACAAGAGGCGAAGAAGCTCGCACATTGAATATAGGGACAAAGAGGTGGATGACAAGATTTGAGCAAAAAATTAGCAAAGAAACAAATTGAAAATAGGTTAGAAAACACTAGCTAAAAGATACCCATTGATAAAAGTACAAATAGAAATTACAACTATGCCATCAATTGCGCCTAGGTTTGTAGCCTTGTATCTCTCTCTCTTATTCTTTTATTTTCCTTTCTCTTAGTTCCCCTTTTTTGGAAAATAAATATAATACAAAAATTCAACATATATGCAACAGGTTAGAATAAATAAATGTTTTCATGCATATGTTAGCAGAAAACAATAGAAGAATGTTAACATAAATATATTAATACGAAAATTAACATGTGAATAAATAAAATTAGCAAATTAAGTAAAATATTAGAGATCTATATATATTAATATGAAACAAAAAATAAGTTAGCATATTAAAAAAATATATAACTTTACATTTAACAATATATATATGTCTTTATTATTTTAGACATTTATATAAGGTTATAGATATAATTTCCATAACAAAAAGATAAGTTAACATGTTAAAAAAACTTATAACTTTACATTTTACAATATATACATATATTTATTATTATGAATAAAAAGCATGAGTTATTTTATTATTTTAGACATGCATATATATGAATAGAGTGTGTTTGTGTAGTTAATTGAATAAGAGATTGAGAGTAGGTAAGATGAGTTTGAGTTCTCCAAAAAATTTAGAGATTAAGTCAATAAATTTGTTTGATTATATCAAGTGATTCAAAAATCGATTATCTATGAAATTGGCTTTCATGAGAGAAAGAAAAGAAAAGAAGTTACCAGTATTTTATCTACCAATTTTGGTATGCTTTGTAAAGAAATTGTATGTATAAGTAACATAGAAAACAATGATTACCTATAAAATGGTCGAACAACCAGGAACACTGGCCAAGTTGTCCAAAGCGAGTCTTTGCCTGTGATTTTTTTTTTCTGGTGTTTTTTGTGTCGAGCAGATCTAAGTTTTGTAGAGATCTTGAGATTATAAAATGTTGTAGCAGAAGATACTATAGAAAAAGATAAGAGAAAGCACTGAATTGTTATAAATAAATGTAAGCAATTATTAGTTTAGCTATGGGATACGTACTATGAATTACACAAACGAAATTAGTTAGGTGCGTGAGGATATTATGGACAGAACTAGTGGCAAAATATTTTGATGTTTGAACTTTTAAATGAGTCTGATTCATTCTATTAATTTATTACCGGTCCTTTGTCATCAAGTGATATATATCTTAAATATATCAGTCGAAATACATACTGACATGTTCCAAAGAAAATGGGGGTTGATAATTATATTATTTATACATTTAGTATAGCATGTACATTGTCTTGAGGAGGTATATTGTTCGGTGAACTTAAATGAAGTGAATGTTTCCGTGAAGTAAATGGGGGTTGATAATTATATTATTTATACATTTTATTATTCATTTAGTATAGCATGTACATTGTCTTAAGTATATAATTTGTCAAATATGGTCTACTATGCATTCATTTTAGAGTTAATAAGTTTTAACATATGACTTGCATGTTTGATGTATTTTGAGTGTTCTATTAAGTGCTATGGAGCTTGTGGAGACTTGCTGGAGCTTGGGAAATGAGGTAGGACAAATGAGAGATGAAAAAGGAGCAAGCAGAAGTTCAAAGTGTGCATATCGAGATGTGGTACTACATCATGTCAATACAAGTGAGACAGAGGAGGCCATATTAAGATGTCCATACTGATGTAACACATCGATATAAAGGTGGTAGGAGATCACATCGATGTGCCATATCGAAATATTGTACATGCAACAAGTCGATACAAACGAGACATAACAAGTCAGGACTAACCGTATCGAGGAGACTCTATCAATGTAATACATCGATATGGAGGTGGCAGGAGACCATATGCAACAAATCGATATGACCCTTTCACCTGACCTGATGTGGACATCAGCACCAAACAAACTGCCTTAGATGTTGGAGGACATACATAAGCTTACTTGGAGTTAAACTTGCTAGTAGCTAAGGAACAAAGGAGGCTTAAGGCTGTTTTCAAAGGAGCTAAAGACTTAAACACAGAACACTGTCATTCTATACTCAATGAGGACGTTATGATCAAGCTAAACCATGACTGGTCCAGTTTAATTCACAAGAAAATCAAGCCAAACTACCAGAACCACCAAATCACATGAATGAACCCACCAGATCAAGCTATAAATCACATCAAACCATCCCAAATCGAAGGAGATATCACCATGAAGGCAGTTTCCTTTTCTAAGCATGTTAACTTTGCTCCAAAGGGAAACTATGACCAAGGACCACTCTCTCTCAGCAATCTCTACCCTCCATTCTCTAAAAAAGATCATAGACGTTCATACAAAGATCAAGACCACAAGATTCGTTCCCCCTCTCTCATTGCCCCAAATCAAGCTTCCCCCCCCCCTCATGCCCAAAGACTATCTACAACTAAAGCCAGACTTTATGATTTGTTTTATTACAGTAGAACTTCTATAAATTAATACTCGATAAATTAATAATCACTATAAATTAATAATTTTTACCGGTCCCAAGTCGGACCAGTGTAAAAATTGACAAAATTCGATAAGATAATAAGATAATACTTTTTTTGAAAGTTCTATGTACAAATATGGTCCCAATAGTAATATAAATTAATAATTATATATTTAGGTTTATATTAATAATATAATATAATAAAATATGATAATATTGTGTTTCAAGTTTAGAAAATTTGTTTGATTTATCTTCTAAATTCATTATTATGACATTTTTTGAATGAATTTTACATTGTTGAAAATATTGATTTTGTTTTTTTGATAAATATTAAAAAATCAAACTCAAAATATCTCTATAAATTAATAAAATATTAATTTATCGATAAATTAATAATTATTAATTTATCGATTAATTAATAACTCTATAAATTAATAAAATTTGAGAGTCCCAACATTATTAATTTATAGAGGTTTTACTGTACTTTGTTACGATTTTATACACTTCATTTTGAGCACTATATAAGCTCATAAGCTTGTACTTTCATATTCACCAAATTATTAAATCAAAAACCCCTTTGTTGTTTCTGAAGAAGTACTTCTTTAAATCATTTGTTCTTGCAAGTTTTTTTAAGTATTTGTGGAATAAAGCTTTGAAACTCTTGTGGAGAATTTAGAAGTCCATGTGAGGAAGAGCCCTTGGATTCTAGAGTCTCAAAACCGTGTTTGTGGAATCAGACACATCCTGCTACTTCATCATCATTCAATAAACTCCATCTTCAAGCTTAAAAATATCTTGATTCAAGTGTGTTAAGAGTTGGTGGATTCCATTCCTATATCATTTTTATCAGAGCTTAAAAGCTCCTATCAAGGTGTATCTGTTTGTTTTGCTATTTTATTTTCATATCACTCAATTTGTTTCATTTAAAACCCAAAAACTCATAAAATTATTCTTCCGCTTATTTATCTTCTCTGACTTTTATAAACTTCATAAAAACTCAAAAGAAAAAATACTTTATCTTTTGATTCTGCTCATTTAAAGTCTTAAAATAAAATTGCTTTCTAAAAATTAGCAAGTCATTTGGTAATTTTAAATCGATTTTCAAATTAACTTCTTATTTCAGTGATATATATTGTTTCTCTGTTTTGCTTTTGATTAAACAGAACTTTGATTTGTTTATATTGATTTTTGCCAGGTACCAACATGGAGAATACACCAACAGATCCTATGCAAACCATGATGGCCATATTGCAAGCTATGAATCAAACCATGACTGAAAGAATGTCAATACACTGAAAATCATTACTCCAGCCTACACTATGTGAATGGACAACCACCTTACATGCCTTGAAAGAATAAGGGCTGAAGCAGCGACTTTGCTAAACAAACCATATCAACAATACAAGGAGCCAAGACCACCTGATATACCACCACCACCTCGAGCACCAGATCTAATCCAAGTTGCGGTAGAAGGAGAGCTTCTAGTAATTCAAAGATCTTTGAATACACAA